CAAGGACTGGATTGCAAATCTTTGACCACACCCTCTGGCTCCTTCCATCCTCAGTTTTTCAATGAAGGCATGGTTCATCTGAGACAGATGTCCGCCTGGCAATAGATCCTCACACGGAAAAGCCGTGACCTGACAAATGCGCGCCGATAAAACCGCCGCGACAAAACGCCGAAGTCAAAAGCACTCCCATTAAAGCGCGCTGACAAAACCGCGCCCACAAAAGCACGATTTGGGTTTTTTAGGTTAGGATTAGGGTTAGGGTAAGGGTTAGAGTTGTTAACGTTGTTACTGTTGTTTTTGCGTTGTTTTCAATGGCGTGCTTTTGTCAACACGCATTTGTTGACGCGCTTTAGTGGGCACGCTTTCAATTTTGCCATTTTGTTGTGGCGGTTTTGTCAGCGCGCATTTGTCTGTGTACCCAGAAAAGCAGGACATCCTGGAAATAATACCCCAGGGTGGGGTTGGACACTCCTGCAGTGCACCGAGAATGACCCTTCAGGTAAGCCAATGGTCATTTCTCCGGTGCACTGCTTGGAGTGTCCAAGCAAGGGACATGCCCAAGCAAAATGTCACTAGGGCAGGTGCCACCAATGTGGCCCACAAGCCAGGTTAAGAGTCTGTAGAAATCACGCTCTGCAAGACACATCTTCCAAAGGCAGCATCTGCAGAGGCATATTTGTCCAGTTTATAGTGCCTGACAAATAAAGATGGCGTCGCCCAGGTCGCGGCCTTGCAGATCTCCTCAATCGAAGCCTGGGTAGCCCAGGCCGTGGTAGTTGCTGTGCTTCTGGCTAAGTGTGCCATCAGTCTGGAAGGCACAGACCTACCCTGGTGTTCGTAGGCCAGGGAAATACAAGCCTTGAGACCTTTCGGCCCATGGCCACTGGCTGAAACATGAGGAATAAGGCCTCCAAGCATCAGAAGGATGATGTATGCTTGATGTATCTCTTCAATACTCTCCGCACATCGAGGGTATGCCAACAGCGTTCTCTAGGGTGCGTGGGTCTTGGGCAAAAGTTTGGGAAAACAATCTCCTGCCCCCTGTGGAAGTAGAAATTGATTTTCGGGAGAAACAACTGGGCCAGTCAGAGAAAGGACGTTGGTCTTACCTGAACGTCTATTTTCTGATGGGAGGAGGGAATGGTCACANTTATTCTTTTCCCACCTTGAGAAAGAAATAAAATATATTTTCATTAATTGTGCATGTATGCCTTAGAAAAGATGAAAGAGAACAGTGAGAATTACCTCCGGAGAACAGAAAGCGCAGACGCAGCTTTATTGCAAATCAGTCTTTGACCAGGAGAGAAATTAAACTTACTCCTATATCTAAGAGAGAATAAGAAGTATGAGTAGCTCTTGCATTCTGAGTCTTCCCTCTGGTTCAAAAGGATACTAGTATGTGTCTTATCAGCACACACTGACTTGTGAGGGGCAGAAAAGGGAAGGAGTGCAGTTAGAGATAACCAAGAAGCTGGCCACATAACGCCACAGAATTTAATTTGTTTTTACTGTCTTTTTTCTTCCAAAAAGGTGCATCTGCTATTTATTTGCTGTTGCTTTGCTTTACCCATCCACCCATCTTCTGTAACGAATAGGCAGGATACTTAATTATTCAGGCAATCATATGATTCTGTTGCTTAACAAACTATAAACCTTATAAGAATATCTATGGGATTGCTTACCCTAATAGTATCTGCCACTGATAAGATCAGGTATTTTGGGGTCTCTCCAATTCTCTTTATTCAAGGAATGACACCTCCAGGGACTCATAGATACAAGTTTTCTCAATTGTTGCTCACCATCTGTGGAAGAGGACTCCTTCTACCTATCAGAATGCCCGTTTTCCAGTTGGTTTTCCTAAAGGCCATTAAATGTGGTTCTTCCATTAGACCTGGAAGGTTTGAAAATTGTGAGCTTTCTGGCTGCAGAAGGTTTCCTTTTTGGCTGACTGAATCGATTAACTTGTTTAAGGTTCTCAATATGTATCAGAGGTGGTATTCAGCAGGTTCTGACCAGTTCTGGAAAACTGGTAGTGGAAATTTTGAGTAGTTCAGAGAACCGGTAAATTTTCCGGAGTGAGGGACAGGAGGCTCCAGTGGATGGTATTGACCATCCATGACCATCCATTTGGCCACAAGACTGGGATGAAGCTGAAGACATGCCTCTGTGCTCCACCCTTCCTTCTCCACTTCATCTCAGTCCGGCTAAAGATAAGACATATTTTTAACTTCTCCTGCAATTTCTATCTCTACTGGACCCTTCTTGCCTCTGCAGCTACCGTAGCTAGCTCTCTGCTCCAGTCTGTAAGTAGCTCTACGTGGTTTTCCTTTCTAACCACCAGGGAGTGTTACTTTGTATCCTTGGGATCAGAGAGAGCATTGAGGTTGCGGCAGCCATTTTCCGGCTTTGCTAAGCACGTGACGCCAATCCCTGGGGTTTTTTATGCGATCAGGAGGCTAGAGATTCCCAGTCCAGAGCCCCCCACCACCACACCAATCTACTGGAAATAGCTTCGGCGTTCCATGTGGAATCTTCCTACCATGCTACGGGCTCTCATGTAGGAGACATTTGAGCCGTTGAGAATGGTTAGCCTGAAACACCTAACCCTTAAGGTGGCATTCCTACCAGCTAGAAGGGTGTCAGAGCTAGGAGCACTCTCCTCTAGGGAGGACTTGTGCATGTTCCACAACAACAGGGTCATGTTGAGGTTGGACCCAGCCTTCCTTCACAAGGTGAATTCCATATTCCAGTGTTTTAGGAGCTTGTTCTCCCCGATTTCTGCCCTAATCCGGCTAGGGAACCGGAACAGCAGTGGCACCGATTGGATGTCAGACAGGCCCTGCGTATTTACCTGAAGCGGACAGCCTCCTTCCAGAGGTCAGAGGCACTCTTCCTATCTTTCCAACCATCGTTTCTGAGTAGGAGGGTAACGCCTTCCACCATTAGCCGGTGGATCCGCTTAGCCATATCCCTAGCATACGAATCCCAGAGGTTGCCGGTGCTGGCCGGCATCACGGCACACTCAACAAGGAGCGCTGTCACCTCGGTGGCTTAGGCATCCCAGGCCCCCATAGAGGACATTTGCAGAGCGCTACATGGGCATCCCCATCGCTGTTTATCTGACATTACAGGTTGGACACGTTCGCATCGGCTGATGCAGCGTTTGGGTGCAGGGTGCTACAGCAGGTTATTGCAGAGCATGAGTTCCCCGCCCATGGGACTTAGCTTTGGTAGGTCGCATCCACTGGAGCCTCCTGTCCCTCGCTCCGGAAAATGGCAGTTGGTCTTACCTGAATTGCTATTTTCGGGGCTCGGACAGGAGGCTCCAGTGGATGAGACCTACCAAAGCTAAGTCCCATGGCGGGGAACTCATGCTCTGCAATAACCTGCTGTAGCACCCTGCACCCAAACGCTGCATCAGCCGATGCGAACGTGTCCAACCTGTAATGTCAGATAAACAGCGATGGGGATGCCCATGTAGCCGCTCTGCAAATGTCCTCTATGGGGGCCTGGGAGTCCCAAGCCACCGAGGTGGCAGCGCTCCTCGTCAAGTGTGCCGTGGTGCCGGCCGGCACTGGCAACCTCTGGGATTCGTATGCTAGGGATATGGCTAAGCTGATCCACTGGCTAATGGTGGAAGGCGTTACCCTCCTATCCAGAGATGACAGTTGGAAAGATAGGAAGAGTGCCTCTGACCTTTGGAAGGAGGCCGTCCGCTTCAGGTAAATACACAGGGCCCATCTGACTTCCAACCGGTGCCACTGCTGTTCCCTTTCCCTAGCCGGATTAGGGCAGAAATCGGGGAGAATAAGCTCCTGGGAACGGTGGAATATGGAATTCACCTTAGGAAGGAAGGCTGGGTTCAACCTCAACATGACCCTGTTGTTGTGGAACATGCAAAGTCCTCCTAGCTCTGACACCCTTCTAGCCGACGTGATGGCGACTAGGAATACCACCTTAAGGGTTAGGTGTTTCAGGCTAACCCTTCTCAACAGC